TATTTGATTAATAGGTCTGGTGAATGACGTTTTCGTAACAGAGATAATACTTATTATCTTAGTTAAGTAGTAACCTAATATATAAATCATTGCGAATATAAGGCACTTAATATCAGGTGGGATAGAGTCATTTGTCGGTTCTATATATCTAAACAAAAAATATATTTTTTACTAGTAGAAGGTCCATACAAAAAAATAAATAAGAAAGCATCATAAAATTAGTTAATCTAGAGAAAACTTAAGTTATAACTCTGCCCGATAGGTGGCGCTATAGTCGGGATTAAAGTTTTTTAAAAATATATTTACCGGACAGAACTAGTTCTATAGTGTACTAGTGTAGAGAGCGGAATGAGGGTTTTCTTGAATGGCATCAGGTAGGGCAACACTGAGCCAAAAGGTCTACTATGGGTCTACTCCTATACCCCAAGCAGGAACTTTGACAGACCCGTGTTCGTATTACCAATGACAAGGTTTGTATGGAAACTACCGAGCGTAAGAAAAAACTAGCTTTTTTATATAAACTTCAACGAGACGATACCAATTACTTACTCGCTAGTTGTTCGTACTTGGTCGATAGAGGCCCAATCATGAACTATGATAGCTCCGTAATCGTATCGCATGGTCAAACTTTCTATGAAAACGAAGCAGAGCCTCTACCGGACGTAGGAACATACTGGCTCCTTCTCGTTCTCGTTCGATTGATTCGCGCCAAAAACTTTATCTCCCTCCGATTCGTCGGCCTAGGCACGTCTTAGAGTACCCCGACGACGAAATCACCACCGCGCCAACGCGCTTCCGACTCCTCCCACACAGGCCACAAACACCAACACTACACAGCCAGCATACTTGCACAATAGCTAAGCATTAGGCAGACACCGCACCCGTAGGATAAGAGTGCGAAGACCCGGTCGACACAAGACACGCTATACCAGGTACAGGTACGTACATGGGCGTTTTTTCCCACTCCCCACGACAACGCCTAACCTAGTGCGGAGATCCGAGTCTCAGAGAACCGACCCCTAGACCAACTCTAGTTGAACCGACCCCCTCAGGTTTAAGTGGTCTAGAGGCTCCAGACGGAGAGGAGACTCCCCCGTGGGGAGATGCCATCCGCCTGGAAAACCACTAGAGGCAACTCGCTAATTCTCGGCTTGAGGTCCTATTAGGATCTCGCCGTCCCCAAACCTGGTGACACTGTAAAGGTCATCTAGTACCAACAGCATACGCACTAAAAAACTCATGCCGCAGTGATGCCAACTACTGACTTGAAATTTTATAAATACCCTCATTGGCAAAAAGAAATGATAGGTCCGTATACGTGATATCCTTTGATTTCTCTACATTGACATTTTTTTCCGCCTTTTAATTGTCCTTTATTCAAACGCGATCGATTAATCGTGAGTGTTGCTTTTTCCGGCCATTCTGCCTTATGACTATAGCTACTTCAATTAAAAATAAATCGAATAAAATCATCCGCCCACACATATTGGTCATAAAACTTGATATAGCCTTCAATCGATTCAACTTAATTCGAATGCTTTACATTACTTTCATTTTGTTTCGGTATGCAATTAAAGTAGTACAGCTGCCACCGCCCTAATGAATACATTTGTACTGTAAACATATTTATCTTTTACTGCTGCGTTGGTAAATATACTGAAGGTTTTGCCAATGACACATTGTAAATTCTATTATAGGTGTCAGAAATCTTGATTTTGTAAGAATGTCACTTACGATATCATTTATCGGGATTAAACCGTGTTCACAAGATGATATTATAATATATTTTATCATGTGAACGGAATATCACGGAATCTGTAAAGGGTCCAAAAAGGCGAAAATAATGTTTAAGAGATAAAAACGCAGTATATAACTCGTTAAAAACTGTTTTATTGAATTCATTGGTGTGCGTGAACACATAAGAAATTAAAAAAAAATGTTATGACCAGAGCGCTTTGGTAATGTATTTCTATTTATGTAACCCACTGTCTTAGCTTTATCTAAAGCGTCAATGACACGGGAGGAGTTTACAAGCTGCTAGTTAACTCGCGCTGGCTTGTAGCTTGTAACTCGCCCCGTGTCATCAAGGCTTTCGAGAGGTAGGGCATTGCGGGAAGTAAGTAGTAGTAGATATCAGTAAAATGACACTACATTTTGTGTGTTTCTGTCGGTAAGTGACGCTTCAGGGCCCCACGGGGTAAGGGATGGGGTCAGGCCAAGCAACGGTGCGAATGATAGTTTTGGTATCACAAGCGTCTATAGGTAATGGTTGCTGCTTACCACCAGGCGGGCTATACGCTTGTTTTTCATCCTTTTAATATTTAAAAAATCATATCTATCTTGTTACTAATGAAGTTTATTGAGATCTGTACAGTAAAAAAAAAACAGGTTTCATTATATGTATAGTACAAAATTAGAAGTGCAATCTATTTTATTTCAAATCTAGGCCAGCTTTTGAAGTATATACTCGTATTTAATGGAATGAAATATGAAAATTGAATAATTTTCCAGAACAAGTTTCGACAAAGCAAAGAGTGACATGCCGCTAACAGAAACAATGCTCGGCGCTTATTCTAGTTAAGTAATCCAACTTGAACTACGTAGTTGTTATGGTATTCGATGCTTTATTGGTTAACGAACAAAGTTGATAATCCTTTCGAGGCGACGTCCGTTGTGCTCAATGGCTTAAAATGTCCGTGTTGGTTAACACACCTAAAGCCCGAATACTATGAATTGGCCGAATGATTAATACCGTTGCCCGGGCTTTATCTGCTGCCACAGGTTAAGACTGGTCAATTTCATGAATAAGATATGAGACTTGCCTACTGGTGATCGCAGATTTTAAGTGAATATTTCGTTATTTTGAATTTAAAGTCCCATTTTTGTTCGGTATAGTCAGTATACAACACTGGCAACTGTAGTTAAAGCTAAAACTTTATTAATGAAGATTGAATATTAAGATATATAATCAATAAAGTTGAGTGAAGAGACTCAGATTTAAGTTTTTAATTCAAATTTAAAAGCTAATCATTTATTAGCCTTATTCCATCTCCGTTTGACTTTAAACTTTTGACTTGGATGGAATAATGTATTTAACACGATTAAACCCTAATTTGAATTTTAAAACTTTGATACAAGTGGGCCATAAAGTAGGTGCTACGTTCCTACGCGTGTTGCTACGAAAGTACTACGATTGCTACGACTCAACTACGAACTGACGTTCGATGTCTGCAGTAGCAACGATTTTACAATCAAAGTTTAATGAACTCCATATCAGAACGTAATAAGCAGATCATCATCACATGAACCGTTATTTTTATGAAATTCCTTAAAATCCTCGCACTAATCAGCATGAATACGACTTTGGCTTGCCTTAGGATAAGCTTGCGACAAAAAGTTCACAACTATAGCGCCCAAGTAGAAAGTGCTTCTTCCTCGTGGTCAAACTGTGAATTCAAAATAGTTTGTCCACCTGGTAACATTATTCCTGTTGGACAAACTAGTTTTACTATCTAGTTAGACGACGTGGTCGATTTGAGCATCTGGAAAAATATTCCTTTTGGACAAATTAGTTTGACTACTGAGTGTGATCACGCGGACGAAGCTTAAGGGAGTCGACTCTAAGAACAAAACTTTGTTTTTGCCACGCATATATTGTCGTAACGTTTACGGGTATTCTCACGCAGTTTCAAGCAGAATTTATTCGCGAATAGCGTGTACAAGTGTTGTCGAAATTAATAGCTGTAAGTTTTGGTAATTATTTCCTAGGATCCATTTAGACACTTACTTACTTATTGTCATTTAGTTATATTATAAAATTTATATAACGTGGATAATGGAAAAATCAATAAAGGGATTCAGTCTTGATCAAAACCGTGTTTCATTGACATGAGAGAAGAGAGAATAAAAATAGTATTTTGTGAATTCCCAATGATATAAAAATCTTCAATAGTACAATCAGAAATGCAACTACCGAAATTTAAATGGTGTATGTATTAATGTTGAGATATTTGAGCCAACAAGTGAAAATATTCCAGATTTTTATAATATGTTACTCATTATAATATGTTTGTGAGAATATAAATAAAGCTTGGAATATTACATTTTACTATTTGATAAAACCTTTGCAGGAGTATTGTCTGGTTTTAGTGGCCCTGTTCAGGGCGTGGATACGGCCCTGTTCACTTCAGTGAGCTCCAGGGCTGGCTGAAGGGGACAGGGAGGAGTCCCACACACCTTATTCTCGCTTCTCCTAGTGGTTGAAGGATGCCTAAGGCATTTCCTAGACACAAAAAAGAAGGTTACACGGACGGCCCCTTATGCAGAGGAGGCATGGAGACAGAAGGAACAGCTACTCACATCCTGCTGTAATGCAACGGAGTGGTCAAATACCGGGAAAAATACCTCGGCTCAACGGGAAACCACCAAGAAGCAATCACCCATGTGAAGGCCCTGGGGCCGTTTCTGATGGAGATTATTTATTTATTTATTTTAAGACAATCAGTAACAGTTACAATACAATAAGCTAGTGAGAACAATTATATTCTATGCTGTAAAAAGTTTTGAAATTTTTGACTTGTATGATCCAATCCTACGTTGTAAATATATTGATCGATACTGTGACACAAAGCGTTATAATTTTTGGAAAGTCTAGACACTGTAGAGCTAGATTTTAAATTAGTTCTTGAGACAGGAGGACAAAGTAAGCCAACCGGATGCCGAGGCGGTAGCCGAGGAACCCTTATATTAAATATTTCTACAGATAGAGATGGACTAGCTAGAGTGACTCCGGCAACACACCCTCCACACGTAAATCAGGCTCCATATGGACGTCGAGTTACGGAAACGCCCGTAGTGATAAAAATAAGCAGAAGAACGTAGGCAAAATTAATTTTCTAGTGGGATTCGGATATGGTTATTTAACGGTACTCATTTTAGGGCTAGGCTAATTAGTGTGAAGTGTTCGAAATGTTTTGTTTTTACGGAAAAAATTCAGTCACCTGTATATAGGCTTCCCTCCGGTGGCCTTCCCGGCGCGGAACCACAGAACCATGTAGACGCGGTCCTCGTTAGTGTCCGGTGTGACGTCACAGGGCAGGGACGCCATGCGCCCCAACACAGCGTCCACGTCCACTGTGGATACTGAAAACAAATGAAAACTGACTTTAGGAACATTAAAAAAAAGGATGGCGCCTAAACAACATGGGAAATGAAGACACAGAGAGGAGCTTGATGACGCAGGTGGTTAGTGCGTTCGACCTGTGATCATGGAACTACTTTCGCAATGGTCGGTCATTGGATGGGTTACCAAAAACATATTATCTCTAGCTCCTCCGTGCTTCGGAAGGCATGTTAAGCCATTAGTCCCGGCTGTATCTGCAGACGTTAGCACCAATCCGCTTATCCAAGTACTGGGCCCGCGTGGTGGGCCACGGCCCAATCTCTATTCCATCCATTGAGAAGGTCTGTGCCCTAGCAGTAGGGGCAGTAATAGGCCGTGATAATTATGATAATGGCACAGAGGCGAAACTTTATACAGTGCGAATGTGTAAGCGAGCACTCACTGGCGGCTCGTAAACGTCAATAGAGACGTTTTCGAATTGTTTGTCTGTGAATACGACAGGCCTCAAGTTGCAATATGTCAGCAAAAACTGTCAAAAAACTGCGTCCAAATTCAAATTCGTCAGAGAGCTACTATGCCACAGACACGTCAAACCTCTTTTTCGGTCAAAGGTTAAAAATAAGTTACGTCAATGTTTAAAACTGCATTTGTACATATGGTTTGTTGATTTTTAGACAAAAAGAGGACTTTGTTCTACTATTCTTAGGTTATGTTTTACGAACTAAATAACAATCATAACTTTAGCATGCGTACATGCCTAATGTGATTAACTGATTAATACTCGAGTATAATTATTCCCCCGCTATTTGTTAGTTGTGATTAATCGTAACATCTGATTTTCCTTGTAAGTAGGTTGTGGGAGCGGTAAATACATGAACTCTCGAATTAATCACATCGCCATAGTTTATGATTAATAGTTACCCGTCAATCATTTTATAATAGAAAGCTAAGCTAGATGCTTTGTAACGCGGTTAAAGGCGTATTTTTACGATGGTCTTATTTGTTCCATAAGATAATATTTATATTGAACTCCTTTGCAGTTAATAAAAAACTTTAACTAAAGTTAACCCGGTTTTTAACAGATACTCACCCTTCTGTTTACTAAGAAGACAGAAACAGCATTAGTTTAGGCCAAGGTTAACTTTTATGTTAAAAAACTTTGGTACCTATTTGGTACAATAGTTTTCTTTGTTAATTCGACTGCAAATAACTACAATCTATGTCTACCTATATTACATTGAATTAGTTAATACGAAACCGCTACGATCACTTAACTCACAAAGAATGTATACGAACGAGTACATCTAACAATGAACATTCAATAGTATAAGATTACAATTACGAGTATGAACCTCAAAAGCTAACAGAAGTCGTTGAAGTTCAAATTTCACAGGCACTCTCCGAAATCTATGAAATATTAGCTGTGTTTCTCCCTCGAAGAATCTCTAAGTGAATAACACTGTTCCCCAGTACACGGTTATGATTCTTAGCTCTTTCTTTCTCGAGGCTATAAAGGGCGCATGAATATAAATAGGTGTAATATTAAAACTCCTCTTCCTCGTCCGTTCCCACCGCAAATAATCCTCTTTTCTTTACGCGAAACTGTCACCATGTTGCGACGAGTAATGTGAACCATCACTCATACTTAGGAACAATTTTCAATTTGCCTTGCGATGACTAAAATAAAGATAGATTATTGTGGTTGCGGCCGGCCGGCGCGCGGCGCCGCGTGAGGGTACGATGCAAGATGATAGTATTTTGTTTAATTTTCATTCTAATACGTATTTTAATAAAAGCACGTTCAGAATTTTAAGTAAGTGTATAGTGCGAAAATCTGAAAATGTTAATAATTAGGTTCACCCAGTGGAGTCCTGGAACCTTCCTCACCGACAGAAACACAACACCACCAAAAGGTAGGTATCTCCTATCGCCAGGATATTTGCTTTAACCGATTATAAATAAATATATTTGTATGTTTTTGTGAGGAGTGTCGCAGGCTGGGCTGGAGGTGGACTCCTGGATCAAACAGGGCCGTGTCGTCGCTCATCGGATTGAGGGGTCAACCATCTTCCACTTTCGCCCTGAAGTCAACTTGGAGTGAGCATTTGGGTCTCTGACCTTGGCGCCACCTGCATTATTCGTGCCGCCGGGCCAAAACTCGCCGGGCTTCAACCCGTTGGGCCAAAACTCGCTGAGCCCCAATCCGCCGGGCCCAGACACGCTGGGTCCCGTTTCACTGCAGTCGGGCTTCAACCCGCCAGGTCCAAACCGGCTGGGCTTCGTTCAGCAGTCAGCTCCGGCCACTCCATTGTGACACAGAGTATCCTGTTACAGTATATTTATTAGGTATTATCGTTTTGCAGTCAATGGTTGTATAAATAAATAATTTATTATATTAACTTATAATGTAATTACTGCGTAATTGAATGCTTTCAATGACCTTTGTTCTTAAGTTAATTTATGGTTTTAAAATATCGCTTCTTTTATGTTGCGACTTGTTCATGTGTTCATAGTTATTTAAATTTCTTGTTCATAACTAGAGTGTCTATATAACTCTGAGCAGGCTTTGCCAGATTATCAGCGCTGGTGCGACACAATGTAGAATCAGGTAATGCTGAAGCAGGGTCCTGGTTAGCCCTTACTGTATAAGTAACTTTTAACATGTTGTGTTTTTAAGGGTTAGTAAAAATTATTTTCTTTCTTTCTTATATTTTTTTAAACTGATATATAAATTTTAAAAGAAAAGATTTTTCATCTGTTGTCTATTTGGAACAGACGTATTTACAGGATAACATAAACGGTCTTACTACAAAAAACACTGTTTTAAATCTTGTAACTAAAGTTTTTGTGGATATAAAAACGTTCCCCATTTATTTTTTCTAATAGGTAATGAAAAAACCTATCGTCAACTAAGTGAGTAAGCAACTAAGTTCATAGTTCGTTCCTTAACAAAATACCATTTTCTAAGAGAAGTATATTGATTTTAATCCGTAGTCCTAAATAGTCTTTGATGCGGTCTCACCCTATGCATACAGAGGTCGTCAAACCCAAACTCATAATTTTCCATACCGACTTTGCAATATAAGGCACTTTATGAGCTTATACCTAATTCAGCTTTTACACGTTCTGCTATTGTGCTCAGATTAACACGACATGTTGATATTAGGCTATAACCACAACCAAAATGTTCTCTACAAAATATCATAGACCTTTTAACGGTGTAGTTGCAATAACGTTCCTTTATTAAGCAGCCACGTCAATTACGCGTTCAGTAATGTACTTATAATAATAGAATACATAGAGTAGAAAATATCCCTTTTTTTAGGTTTTATTAAAAAAACAAGAACCTTACATTTTTCCGGGATAAAACTATCCTATATCTTAATTCTGATCATAAACTAAATGCGTACGAAATTTGAACAAAATCGCAGGCGGCCGCTAGTATATCATAAACAGCTTCCTTAACAGTTTTCAACCTTAGAAGTTGACAAATAATTTCAGCAAGTTAATTACGCTCTCCTAGTTACAAACCTTATTTAAAGTTTTAAAAGTGCGTTTAGTATATTATATCGAAAATCAAAATTTTATATTTCTCGAGATTATTGTAAGTAATGAGGTTTCCAGCAAATAAGTGGAAGCAGCAAAGAGAATAAAGATGAATATACAAAATGTTGCGAAGCTTAAGGTTCTCCGCTAAAGCTTCGAGATGGCGCATCAAATTTTCATAAAGTCGAAACCTAAGAGGCAGAAGCAAAGAGCACCATTTTACAGATGTACTAAAGTAAATAGATTTATGATGCGCCGTTATGATTAATAAATCAGCGTAATTAGATATTTAAAAGAAAATGATATTTTTTAGGGTTCTGTTACGGAACGGAACGGAAAGGATTCCGCCCTTACAGGATCACACGGTTGTTTGTCTGTCTGTCACAGTCAATTTGTAATTAATTATCAAGCGAAAGGGCTCAATGTGAAACTTCTAATTGTTTGATTGTATAGTGACTAATGTACACGAGATATATTTTTTTGTAGATTCCAGGAAAACCTATAAGAAGTTTATAGTATTAGTTATTTATAGTTAATTTTTAAGTATTTAACTGCTAGATATTTAAATCTAGGAAAATCATAAAAAAGAAAGAGTATGGCCCCGAGTTCCCAGCGGATTTGTGATTCCCAGCCAGAGCAAAGCGTGGGCTTCGACAAATCCAGGGATGTTAAGAATCGCTGGTAGAAATCAAGCTGCTCTAAATTTAAAAATACTACATTGAAATAGCATCCTATAATGCAAGAACCCTAAGATCAGAGGACAGATTGGAAAAAATGCTCTACGAATTGGACAAAGTCACATGGAACGTCATTGGTCTATTAGAGGTTCGAAAGGAAGGCGAAGAAAGCATCAAACTCCTTAGAGGGCATACCCTATACTACCGCGGTAATAACAACACCAATTACGAACGCGGAGTAGGCTTTCTGATTCATAAGAGACTCAGTAACAACATTAAATATATTACTTCGGTGTCAGATAGAGAAAATATCTAGTAATAGTTCCAGCTTAAAAAAGACAACACTTAAAGTGATACAAGTATACGCACCAAGATAGATGTAGAAATAGAACAATTCTACGAGGAAACAAGTAAGTGCATTCATACCAACAAAAGTACGTATACAATAGTTACTGGGTCTTCAACACAAAGATAGGAGCAGAGAGAGATGACTCAGCAGATCATCAAATAATTGGATAAAACAATCAGTTTGTAATCGAACAAAAACACCATATTGAAACCATCCAGAAGAAATATGCATAGCTCTACGCATCAAAGAACCCCAAGCCAAGAGAAGTGGTATGACGAAAGATTGTGAATGTTGGTTCTGAGGATGTGCCGGAAATAACATCGAGCTAGATCGAAAACGCTATCAGGAAAATGAAAAACGGGACAGTGATAATGTCGTAATCGAGATGGTTAAAATTGGAGAAAAAAGAGAGATTGAACTTCTTCAAAAGCTTTCAATAAATGCTTGG